TCTCTCTCTCTCTCTCTGTTACATCTCTCAAGGTTTACACGCATAAATTCTCCACCGCGGTGCAACTTGACGAGCATCCGTCAATTTCGCGCAGCGTAACGGCTCCGTAATTAGTCGATTGTTTCGCGGAAACGGGAATGCGCGAATTCAACGTCGCGACGGTTACGTCGGCGCCGTAGGTGTAGAGAACGCGAATGGTGGTCAACCGGTGGTGATTTGCGTGGCGGGGCGCGTGCACACAACTTTATATACGTACGCGCGTTCATTGCTGGGAGCGCGCATATAACTGGAATAGCAGCGGTGCGCACTCTCACGCTTTTGTCCTACTTATCTGGCGATTAGCCGTGACTTCCGCTTTCGTCAACGCCGGACTCAGAAGACCGCTTCCCCCAAGGTTGCTTCGTTCGATCGCGGCGCGATCACGCCCGCGGGATTTCCCTCGATTCTCACGAGCGTTCGAGCGGACGATCGCACGATGCGCGTTCTCAGCAACGTGTGCGAACCTGTGCGAACCCTTTCGAGAAGGGCCGGTTTTGATCCTCGCTTACCTTCGCGCCATCGGATCGGCCGTAGTCGAAATGTGAAATCGTTTCTTTCGCGCCGAGTATCCCGTAAACCTTAGATATGAGGTATATCGAATACCCGAAAGTTCAACCTGAAAGCTATTCGTTGGATAGATTTTGCCGTTTTAGGAGTGATCGACGTGTCGGCCGAGATCCCCGGCGAATGCAATAACAATTGTAGTAATAATAACAATGAAGCAACAATAGCCGAGAAACGATTCAAACTCGAAGGAAGCCGTCTCTCAGCCTTCCGTTAGTCGCAATATCCGATAGATACCATTTTGATACTTGTCAGTTTATTCTATTGGCCAAGTGCTAATGAAAGAAGAATCGTTTCAAGAAGCGGAGGAAAGGAATGGGAAAATCAGTGTGTCTGTACATTGCCAACCATTCACGGATAAAAAAATATCGCGACTAACGGAGGAGAGTTAAAATCACTTCAGGCGCTCGATTCTTGAATCACTCGTACACGTGACTTGCGAGCGATATCCAATGAGCGTGCTGCTTCTCCGTGAAAGCAGCACGCTCATTGGATATCGCTCGCGAGTTACGTACATACGAATGGTTGCGAGTCAATCTAGAATCGAACCTCGGGTGATTTTCATTTCAGAGACGAGAATCCGCCCGAGGCGAATGTGCCGAGATTTTGCGTGACATTCATTTTTGCCGATACGTCGCTAAAGTAGAAATTCGAGCGCGGAGAGAGAGAGAGAGAGAGAGAGAGGGAGAGGTCGCTATTGACGAGAGAACAATCGACTGAACGGACGGTCTTCTGAATTGTTTACAGCTGTACGGGCGGACCGGATGCGAGGCGGTAGGAACAAATTCGGGCCCATGTACAAGCGGGATCGTGCGCGGAAGTTGCAACTGATGCGGCAGCGGCAAATGGCGCTGCAAACGATACGCGGCAATCTCGACCCGAGCTACTCGTCCACGGTGACGCCATTATTGCACATCAAGCAGGAGATCCAAATACCTCAGGTCTCGAGTCTGACCTCCTCGCCGGATTCGAGTCCGTCCCCCGCGGCCGTGGCCGCGGGACTGGTGACGACGCAGGCCGGTAACGGTGCCGGTCAACACCAGCTGATCGCACCGTCCACCCAACCGAGCATCGCCGGCGGCAGCGGTAGCGGCGGTGGCGGCAGCGGCGGCGGCGGCGGCGGAGGAGGTGGAGGAGGCGGCGGCGGCGGCGGNTGGACAACAAGTTGTGGGCCGCGAACTCCACCACCCCCGGTACAAAGGCCTTCAACTTCGGCGAGCAGTCCACGCAGCAGTCCCACGGCAGTGCCGCGAGCACCGCGGGCATCAACCCTTCGATCGCTCTGAAAACTAGTCCGATGATAAGAGACTTCGTGCAGGCGCTCGACGACCGCGAGTGGCAGACGTCCCTCTTCGCACTCCTGCAAAACCAAACGTACAATCAGTGTGAAGTGGACTTGTTCGAATTAATGTGCAAAGTGCTCGACCAGAATCTGTTCGCGCAGGTGGACTGGGCTAGGAATTCGATATTCTTCAAGGATCTCAAGGTGAGCTCCCAAGCCGCAGTCCTTCTCCGCTGCGGCGGATACTTTCCTATCACGAGTTTTCTATAGAGTGATGAATCGTGCGAGGAAGAGGGGGACGTGTCTTCGTTCCCCCTTCGTTCAGCTCTTATCGAGTGGGATCGCGAGGAGGCAGCCTCTCCTTTTCTCATTTTCTCCTTCCCCACCTTCGAAATTCGTTTCGACTCGCATCAGACATTTGGGATACGACGTGGGGCAGAGAGAGAGAGAGAGAGAGAGAGAGACACGTCGTCGGACGCAACGGAGAAGGTGATTACGGCGATTACGCGCGTGTGTTAAGCGAGTAATCGTAATTACAGTGATCGTGCCGACGAGAATCTCCTCGTCGAGGAGTTGTGTTCTTACCGATAAATAACTCGTTGCCCGGCCTGCTCGTGGCATGAGCGGCGGGGATGTGAGGTAACCAGCGGCATTGCACAATCACTGAATGATTTCAAGCATCGCCTCATATCTAGGTCATAACAAGATACGTTTCTGGGTTATGGCGGTTGCCCCAAAGCAGGACCGCGTTAATTGTAAATTGCATACTTAAACGATCGTTTTGCAACAACTTTTTATTTTTGCCTCAACACGGCGAGCGCCATTAACGACGATAATGGGGCCATTTGTTTGTGCTTTTCGTCAACAATATGGTACATTGTCGCGGGATTTTCACTCTCTCGCCTCTCGTCATAATCAATATTACTCGTGCGCGTGTTTCGTTTCTCTCCTTTTTAAATGTTCTATAAACATATAGATTACTATATATATATATATATGTGCGCGTCAAAACGCTAAACACGTTGAAGCGGGAGGAATATATATTTGTCGAGCTAACGAAACATGACGAATTATAATCATTTGTTTTATATCCGTATTATTATCAATTATATGGATGTGTGATTAATAATCGACAGAGGAAAACGTATTAAGGAATACAGTGGTATAGGTATTTCTCGTTCTTCTTTTTTTTTTATGCGTTTAATGCAGTATCTAACATTCGCACAAATAATTTATTAGGTTGACGATCAAATGAAGCTACTGCAACACTCTTGGTCGGATATGTTAGTACTGGACCACCTTCATCACAGGTTACACAATAACCTACCTGACGAGACGACACTTCACAATGGCCAAAAGTTTGATCTCCTTTGCCTCGGCCTACTTGGAGTTCCTAGTTTGGCGGATCTTTTCAACGATCTGTCTAAGAAACTTCAGGAACTAAAATTCGACCTCTCCGATTACGTTTGCATGAAATTCCTAATGCTGCTGAATCACGGTAAGTAAAGTTCATCCGGTATCTAAGCCCGTGTTTCATTTGTACATTTCTCTTAAATGCGCGTCGCGAAATTCACAAACGGAACCGTACTTTCCTACGGATGGAACATTTAATGTTAGAACTGAAAATCCCGATAAAGCGCGTTACAGGGTCACGGAAGATGATGACAAAGTTTGCAAATTTATGTATTGAGGGCAATCTGAGAAGGCATTATATAAGTCTGTAAAAAAAACGCGATTAACTCCGAGACCTCAGATCGACGACTTGAGATCTGTTATATCAATCAGTCACAAGACGGGCTGCAATATAGTTTTTTTTTTCTATAAACTTCGGAATGCATCCCGTGTCCAATAGGAGAATTCGTTTTTTTTGGTAATTTTAATTGATTTTAATTTTAGTTAATTTTAATAGGAGATACACTTTCTTATTGGATACGGGATGCGTTGCAAAACTCGTCGAAAAAAAAATGTTGCAACCGTCTTGTGACCGTATACGGGTGATGCAATTCTTCATAATTGATTTTCTGATACTCCGTCCTACTTTGATACGAACTAAGCATCTAGTATAACGTGTATATAACGAAATCCGTGCAGTGTACAATATGGCTTGCAAAATACGTGTGTATATATATATGTCGGTCGTGCTACGTAAATCTATGTACTTATTTTGGCACAGAGGTTCGTGGGCTAGTAAACAAGAAGCATGTGCAAGAAGGGCACGAGCAAGTTCAACGGGCGCTTATGGATTACTCGATACATTGTTACCCAGCTCTACCGGTATTACAAGATTCAAGCTTACGTTATACTCCTCGCTCGAACAGATCGGAGACGGTGTGTATCTAATTGTTCTCATCTGATCGTTGCAGGATAAATTCAACAAGCTGCTAGCAGTATTACCAGAAATCCACGTGGTGGCAAGCAGGGGAGAGGACCATCTCTATCACAAACATTGTAACGGAGGTGCACCTACGCAAACACTCCTCATGGAGATGCTTCACGCCAAGAGAAAATGAAACGATCGGTTTCTCCTGGTAACTTTTGCCATCGAATAGTACGAAACTACACACACACACACACACACGCATACACACACAGACACACATTATATACACGTAACATGCATACATACATATATAATATATCGAAAGTCTTGTTAGCGCCCCTAATCGGGAGACAGAGTGGACCTCAAAGTACCTATTAAGAGCTAACGCTGCTAAGGTATCGGACCAAGTAAAGGGGCATTGGTTCAATAAATACCTATGCATACAAATAAAGAGTATAGACGTATATATACTTTACATATATTACATATATATGTATTATATAAAGTGTATCTAAATATATAAACACAATGACATATATTTTCTATATTTGATGTTGAAGTTTTAGAGATGTATCCGTGGAGAAACACCCCTGTTGGTGGGTACAAGCGCAGGGAAACAGTAAGCAAGATGCCTTGAAAACAGTACAAAGGGTGGTTAAAACAAAATATTGGTCAAAGGGCAGGCAATTTTTGTCTAAATAAGTAAAGCTATTTTTCTAATACTTAGAAGCGATTATTTTTAAGCATACCACTGAAGCCTTGCTCTCACTCATTCGAACGGAATAATGTACACTATTACTGCTAAAGAGAATCCGAACTTTCCAGATTTTAATCGTGCTTCTGCAAGGGATTCAATGGGCATACTTGAACGACAGTAAACTTGCATGTGATATATACATATGTGTTTGTTGCACGGCCACCTGGGCATCCTTAGAATTTCCTATGAAAAGAAAAAAAGAAATCTGCATTTTGACACACTTGCACACAAGCAGGGCTACTATATTGTAAATACTAGTTAACACATTCCAATTACGTTGTAAAGTATGAATCATGTTAAATATGTAATTACGATATTTTGTGTATAGAGTTTAACGAAATAAATATATTTCTGTTGCTTACACTCGAGAGGAATCATTAGCTACTTAATGTCTTCACTAATTTTAGGGTCTTAATCATGTATTTCTCTTTATTATTTTTCAAATAGGTGGCGGAAAGGAATAACCACAAATTACGAATATTTTACTATTGTATGTTGTATCATAATAAAGATTCTGTTTAAGAAATAAAAGAATCATTGGAGCAAGGTTTATGTGGTCCTATATATTGTCTAGCGATTAATTCTAAATACATAAGATAACAATTTAATCTTATATCTCGCGCAGTTGTTAAATAGAGAGATATTTAGTGAATGTTAAGATAGCGACCGAAAGTAGTAATTTTTCACTAAAAGATTATTATATTATTATTATTTTTAATATAATATTGTTTAGCTGATAGTCAGAAATTCTTCAGTGCTGTGAAGGTTGTCTTTTCGACGCCTGTGGTATCAAAGCCATCGGAAATTACATGTGTCAGATGCAAAGCTTAAACTTGGAACGACGAGACGCAGATCTTTTCTCGCGCTGATAAATCGATTGTAAATGTTACCCGTCGCGACTCCTCCTGTTTTCATTCACGTATCAAACACGTACCTGCTGCAAAAAGAATATATGCTATTTTAATACTTTCACTTTTTCCACCGATTTCTCGCAATACATTTAACTAGATGTAACATGTGACTTGTGACAAGCGCGAAATTTGACGCCACGTTATAGATTAAGAATGCCGAGTGTTAAATCAAATCAGGAGGAGTGGTGACGAGTATTCTATTGTTATTGTTATTATCACGAGTAATTATTGCGATGAATAACGATATTGTTATAATTTTTATTATTACAAGTTATGATTGTTACATCGCAACAATTATTTGATCGACAATGTATCGTATATATTTATCACGTGAGTAAAGATCCTCTGTCCGCCGTCAAGTTTGACACACACACACAACACATACACACATATACACACACACGCCAATGTAGAATACGCTAATGTTCCCAAAATTTACAAATCGTCCGGTTCTTCTCACGTTGAACACCATCGGAGACAGTCTCTAGGCTTATCACTCTCACACATACATTTACGACGCTCCCTCTCTCTTTGGAAAAGATTATTTTTATTTAACTCAGACACGAATGACTACCTCTTCATATTTCTGTATTAAGTTTTTATACTTTTACATTTTTAGTAACCACATACCTCAGAATAGACGCCCAGATAGCAATTTGAATGGAATGAATGAATGTAACATGCATAAACAGCTACTTTTAATCCGTGTAGTGTGTATAATTACGCATAAGAAGCTACCGAGCTATGTAATACAACTAATTAAAATATCGTATCCATTGTATGTCCATGTTATTTTTTAGGCCTTAGTTATTATTATTATTATTATTATTATTATTATTACTATTATTATTATTATTGTATTTTCGGCACATTAGTTTATAATCGTGTCATTTACCATGTATTAATTAGGAAAGCATAGTTACTGCTGTCAGAGTTGAGAGAAACCAATTGTAAACGTCGAAAGGAAATCCAATGATTCAAAGAATCAAAAAGATAACAAGTATGAGGATTAATGCCTTCTAGAGTTGTTTTTAAATTATTTTTAAATTGTTTGGACTTCACTGTTTTATTGAGACAACATTTATGCTACGTTTTATTTATTTTTACTCTTCTTCGAGGCTGCCCGTTAAACGTGTCGGTCTGATGATTTTGGAACAAATGTCATTCGCGAGCATCAATATCCATAGCAATGTGAGGGAAAGAAAAAACTCTTCTAAAAGTAGCTCTAAATCGACTTGTCGTTGTTATATATACTTCCATCATAATGATTCGATCTGTTACGACGTGTTAACAAATGTAACTAGAGAATACGACGATCGCAGCGTTATGTACATTGTGTTAAATATGTACAGTTACCAATTATGATTGGCAATGATCTTATTTAATATCGATGTGATTCTTCGGCCCGATAAATCGTTGGAATAAAGTTTTAAAGGGGGAAAAAAGGAACTATTATGCGTTGTTAACACTGCCATTAGCAGTTGGCAATTGTAAATTATGTAGAAAAAAAACATTATAATTGACTGTAAATATATCTTTATTATATTAACAGATAACTGTTCCTTTCTAGAGTTATAATGCTATTTTTTTATATTATATATTGTACTGGTTGACCCCATACGAGACGAGATAGTATTCCCTTATTCGATATTAAAGATCGTTACCAGATTGTGAAATTGTGAGAGATCAAATTCCGCGAAAGTTAAAAAACTTGATAGGATATATAGATATCAATCAGTATGCCATTTTGCGAGATTTAAAGATAGTAGTATTTTATGATTAATTCAGTCACTCGTTAGAATGTACAATTATTACAAAATTTCAATGCCTTCGTGCACACACGGAACAAGACAATTATCATAATTCGTAACTTGAATGCTGTTATTCATGTATGTCAAACAACTTGTATATTTGTTTTTGCTTTGTATAAATACGAGACGACGAACATTGCACAGTGACTAATAAAGATATCGCAACTATCGCAATCATCTATCATTCTTTCATGTGAAAACATCAACAAGAAGCATCTTTGTACATTTGAATTTTTACGTTATATAATCTTTCGTACATGTGATGCTTTAGTGTGAGTCATATATTAATTCGACTAAATTAGTAACATAAGACACTATGCCATGAATCCTAACACGAATGTGTGAGGCTACGTGTTGCACTAGTAAAAAAATCAAACGCTAAATGCTCCGTATATTGACTTTTCTTATTACTTAACAAATTAGTATATATACACGTACATATGTATATACTAATTTATAATTAACACGCACACATGTGTTACTTATAGTTGTTACTTAATTTCTATTAAATGAAATGATCAAATACGTGAATTCAGCTGTATAATTCTACACGTGATGTAAAAAATATTAACGTTAATCTCATCCTCTTCGTGCACCATGATATATATATATATATTTATAATGAATACAATAGCGTATGTAGTGTGATGTGAACCCCGTGTGATCTGCGGTGCATAAAAATTGTAACGCAGAAAGTATATTCGGTTAGGAATATACTCTACGTCCGTGACATCCAAGTCACGTGCGTAGTGCGTGTGCAATTGCGTGTGCAGTGTTATTTATTTTACCTATGGTTCTGATTAAATTACTATGTCAATACAACAAATCATTGCAACAAGCTGCCTTCTTCGAGAGACAGTCTTTTATCATTATTATGTTTTTTTGAAAATTAGCTATTTTTCTATCGTAATCGTTATCATTCCCTAACGTGACTGTGTAACGAAATAATATCTTCAAAGTCCGATCACTGATACATAATTGTCGAATAATAATTTGGTTCACACGTACATTAGAAAACGTATATAGATGTGATATCAGAGTTCAATGTGCGTCTGTTTCTGTTAGAAACTTGTTGTAACTCTCCTCGTTCATTAGACTCTTAATTTCGTCCGGTTCGCTTAATTCTACCTTAAACAGCCAACCGTCCTTGTAACAAGATGTGTTAATTAACGAAGGTTTATCTTCGATCGACTCGTTTTTCTCTATAACTTTTCCACTGACCGGGCTTATCAATTCCGAAGCTGCCTTCACCGATTCTAGCGCACCGCATTCCTCTAAAAAAGAAATCACAGTTCGATCTAAGAAAATGAGATTTTCACAAATATGTAGATGAAACGAGGCTGTATAATACGTGATAAAACCAAAAAGGAGGATAATTGTGAATAGGTGTTCAAGAGCAAACCAAAAAAATGTATGTACAAATTGTATTCCATTTATTAGAAACTACCACTTTAATGTAATTCGACACGGTTTAATTTTAACTTCACTTAATTTTAGTTCAACTCATTTCAGTTTAGTACAGCTGTGTCCATTCTGTCGAATTGTGCAAAATTTTTTATAGCGCAAAAATATATTCATAACTCATAAAATGAAAAGTCATCGCGCAATCGGATAGTCTCTGTAATGATTCTCGCTGAAAAATAACTAATAATAAAATTAATAACAGAGATAATTGAAACAAAACAACGCTAAAATTGTCGGGATTTGTTCGTTGGACATTTCGTTCAAGAAAGAAAGAAGAAACATGAAGTATTACTTCAACTATATCGGGCAGAGTAGCTTGTATCTTTTTTTGGCACAGCTTTCACTCGTCATTTTGGAAATTCGGTCGGTTATGACAGGGGCGTATCAATTACCTCCTTTCTTGATCATGGATCCCACGTCGGGAAGTTGCGCGTAAACCACATCTCCGAGCGCCTCTTGCGCATAATTAGATATACCGACTGTGCCCACTTTGGTGTCTACAGTTACCCATTCGTGCTTATCGGTGTACCATCGTTCTGAAAAAATCACGGTGTTTATCTCGGAGTTTGCGAATTCAACGGTAATCAATCTCTTCTTCTTCAAGCAAGCGCGTCAACGTCTTCCTTTCGCACGGAAGGAAAATATCAATCACACAGAGAGCGATACCAGCAACTTGAAAAGAAACAATTTTCTCTTTCACAGTCAACGATAGAAGAGAAAAACACGATAGGAGGGACAATCGAAGCGCGTCGCAACGAGACAACTTCCTGCGACATTAATTGCGGGTGCGATAACTGTACTTTTTTTTTATTCAAGTGAAATCGTATATTCTTTTCGCACAAAACGACTCCTCTCGTCGATATTATCGTATAAAATATTCCAGAGAAATGATCGAAAAGTGAGTACTTGACGAGATATCTTATACTTTGTCGACGTCATAGTGTAAAATTTAAAATATGTCGCGCCGAATATCACTCACTTTCGACGACCTTATTTTTGTGTTTTCCGGTATGCCGGCGATGCGGTGATGATGCAACGAATTTGTCGAATTTGTGAAGTTATTTGTTCACATCGCAATTCGTTCCCCCTCCCTACCCAGCAGTTCCGTCAGTAATTCCCGTAGATTCGTAAAATCAAGACGCGTTAACTCTAACGTCTGCTCGACTTACCAGTTCTCAAGTATCGTGTTGTGGTTATGGAGCGTGCTGCGGTGAAAAGCGGTGTCCTCGACGCCGCAACCGCACCGAACAGATCGTTTCCACCGTGCGAGATGAGTGTTTTCATCGCGCACCTGCCGGCCCGTACGGCCAATCTTGCCATCCTCATCTCTACTCGTGACGCGTGACCGTACGAAAGATTGCCGATGACTCTAACCCTCCTCTCGGCCGTAAGCGCGATCTGAGTAGCGTCGAGTGACGAGAGGAAACTTCGACGACCCGGCCCGACCGCTACTGTCCTCATCAGCCTTTCTCTCTCTCTGTCTGTCTGTCTCTCTCTCTCTCTCTCTTATCTCGCCTCGAAAAATAATCGAGCTAGTTTTACATCGCGGTATCCATCGGTCGAATATCGTGAACGATTGTTTGAAAATTACTCGTCGTGTTTCACCATCGGGAACGATAATCCTCAAGATCGTGCAAGAACGGCACACAATTTACAAAATAAAAGAGCTGAATATCTCAAGAACAATCGATCTATACTTAAGTCGAAGACCTTCCTGTTTATTTTATAAGTCACGTTAGTTTTTTATCTCTAATTCTTCCAACGCCCTGTATAAGCAATGACGATTTTGTTTTGTAACAGAATTTGAAGGAGTCATCGCATCATCAAATGTTCTATCTTATATATTGTTTATATATATCGCATACACACACACACACACATCGATATACACACTGTTTCGACAGGATAATCCGTTCAAGGAACTGAAGGTGATTATATAAGAGATGAAAAAACTACCCTTGTACGTTAAGATTGAACAAAGTAGAAATTCATTACGAAAATTGAATGTACATTAAATATACATTCCGTATATAAGAGACCGTTATTACATGGGCAACGTTTAGTATAATGTTACAACATGTCAAATTTACACAGTGTTATCCAAGCTGCGTACTTAATCACGTGAGTTTAAGCAGATGATAGTAGCATACGCTTCGAGAATATATCGTAATGTGAGTTATCAAAATTCGATATCAGTGACCTCAGAGATCATCTCTGTCATATATGCCATATTATGTGATACTGTATGTACAATATCAGCATAATATACTGAATCATACTATATATATGTCGTAGTAAGTGTATAAAAGAAAAACCACGGAATGACCGGTGTCCATCGTATCTTTCCAAGCATCGATTATCTTTCATATCTGTATTCCCCTATTGTTTCTTTTGTCTCACAGTGTCAATGATTATTATTTATGCAACTGAATTTATATACCAGATGAGGAAACAATTCTGTTTCTAAGTACGTCTATCAATAAAACTAAATTGAAGTAGCATTAATATGTCAAGCTGGACACATTCTTTCTAATGGCGAATTCGATCACTCCCGCCCGATTGGTACATGCTGATAATTTTGCGGCTGTTTACTGATTGTTCGAGTAAAAGAAAAGTATACGGACATTTTTACAAGTGTGCTGAATCGATCATAAACGTCATTTTGTGGATATATCCTTTTATTTAAAAAGTATAACGCAAGAAATCTCGGCATGCGTTTTTCTCACTTCTGACGTCACCAAACAAGGACAGTCACAGTGATTGCTCAAGAGTCTCAATTATTCCATCGTCAAAGTGCCTATGTTACGCCATTTTATTTGTATACTTTGATCCGTATTATGAACTCTTTCTTTTTTTTTTATCGATAAAAGCCTTGAACGTGGCTTCTCAGCTGATCAAGTAATTTCTAAGCCACTTTTAAAGACTTTTATCAATCAAAAGAGAATTTAGAATATGGGCCTTAATGTGTAGCAATCTTTGGGATACATTGGATCTGGGTATAATATGGATGATTGAATTCGCTATCAAAGATGAGACACATCATTCCCTGCAGTTAATGCGTTAATTCACCGGACAACTTTACAAATAACAAACGAAAGGAATATGAAAATACTGTTTCACATCATGTAATGTTGCCCAGATATTTGTCGCGAACTGTATTGCAAAAATTTGTCTATAGTCCAAATATAATGAGCTATTTATTTCATTGTACGTCCCTGATTTGTCTGAATAAATGAAAGGCAAAAATGATTGGTGAAAGTGACAGAATTATTAAACTACAATCCAATGGTGTAAGAACGTCCGCCTGGATTGTGAATCGAGACTGGAATGGGCTGGCTGATACACCATTCGTACCACACTTTCTTAGAACTACATTTTCGCCAGAAGTGAACTACTAATTGGTCCTCCGCCTTCAGATTCACCGGCTCCTGCAAACGGATCCATAATTTTCTATCGTTATCGTCGTCTCTCCCAAGATGGACGTGACGTTATCTTTTTAGCATACCTTAAGTGGAAAGAAAATTGGGAACCAACTGAACATTTCCGGGCTATACGTGCTCGGTTCTATACTCAATGTGATATTTTTGTACAGAACCGTCATAAAGTATCCCGAAAACCCATGCAACACGCATTCTTGTTGTACATCAAAGGTTTTCGTCTCGTATCTCGAGTTGTCGATAGCACTAGCTGAAACGAATGAGTAAAAACATGTGTAAATTCAAGCAAATGAAAATACAGACGATCGGTTACCACATTGAGACAAACCTCTGTTCGGATGTATAAATGTAAAAAGTGGTTGTGGACTCGCTATGTCGTACTTATTTTGAAGATGCACCACGTAGGGAGTCTCGAAATTAGTCAATGGATGTTTATCTTTGTCTCTGAGCTGCCTTACCTCATTGTATAATTTAGAGGACTGTATAGGTGCGATATACGAAGTATATGATTGCGGTATGTTAATTCCGTCATCTAACACAAATGAGAAGGGAGAACTTTTTTTTATCGATTGCTGTAAATATGTGTGAAGCTTGTGTGATGTAAAATGTGCAATGCAGACCTCGTAGAAACTTCAGAACGTTGTCTAAACATTCGGGAGATAATTCGTTATCGCCGAAGGATCCAAGTAGTTCGGAAACAATGATATCGGCCTTTTCGGGCGCGTCCCATTCTCTCATGTCGCACGACACCACCGTGACTTTATCTTCCCACACATCTCTCTCGAGAGCCTGCAAACTGTAGGTGCAGGCGAATAAAATATAACGCCAATTTAACTCGTAGGAACATTCATTAATCTGTGTTCCAAACATTCACTGTCGACGCTGAAAATCTATAGTAGTTCACGTTCACGTATATTATAGATCTTCAGCACTGACAGTGCATATTGAAATACAGCGTCATTATCGTACGAAATCTTCGTTTCGAAAGATTCTTACGTTAGCACGGCGTTAGGATTCTTTTCCACCGCATATACCTTCACTTCCTGCGTGGCCATCTCTGCAGCGTTCAGAGATGCTGTTACGAGGGGTCCTCTTCCGGCACCAACCACCATGATTACTCTAAAGATTCGCAATTGCTACATTCCTTTGTGACTATGATATTGCGATATCGATTCAACTTACATCCTCCTCCCTTCCGCGTTGACCTTCGGTGTGATATCCTTTATGGCTTCGTATATAGCGCTCTGGTATTCTCGGTACTTCACAGGATCCTTCTCGAATATCTCGTAAGTTTGCGACTCGAGATTATCCATTAGAGGTTGCAACGGACATTGCAAATAATCCTCGTACCCACGAGCAAATCTTTCCACTGCTCCGCTATTTTGACATCCCTGAAGAGATGAGAATGTAATTTTCTACATCTACCGATAAATTGTAACAAGCATGTTATCTCAGCAAATATATCATCTCAAGATAATTTTACGTAATCTCTCTTTCGGTCTTACCTTCCACAAATAGTCAAGGTAATTGTAATAATAGCTAATACTCCTGTAGCGTGATGCGCCTGTTAATATAAACTGTACTTCTAATGTGGCAAATTTCTTGACTAATGCCTGATGTGCTTTACTTAACACCGGGTATCCTTTCTTATTAGTTAAAAAGATCGTCGTTGGTAAAATCAAGCATTTCACTGGCTCCCCGAGCCATCTGTCAATCTTTACATTCAAAGACTGGTTGATTAACGCATAGCATCGATAATATATATACTTTTAATTTGTAAGTTTAGTTTGTGTAGATACCTCTTCCGATTCAGGCAGATCATGACTAACGATTAATGCGACTCCTAATTTTCTATTATAGTCGCATATTATCCTAAATGCATTCCACCATTCCCAAGGATTTTCAGCCGTTGGACAATCCTCCTCTCTGTAAGAATAGGTTTGCTTGATTGGATTTTCCATAGGTATTTGTATCCAAACCTACAATGACCAATAGAATATCTCAATACTTTCAATTAACCCTAGGCTGTGGTCTGATTTGTGCTTACAATGCTGTGAATGTCATTCCATCTTTCTTTGAACAATAAAGGTAGAATGACACTTATAGCGCTGTAAGTGTGAATTAGACCACAACCCTAATCTCTCATTCGGTAATTCAGAAATAAAAAATTTACCTGGAAAATATAATTACTTGTCAATTTCTCACAAATAATTCTTGCGAGATTCATATTATTTCCTATGCCACTCATTAATTTAAAAGTTACGCCTGACAAACCAAAATGCATGGCCAAGCCTAATTCTTGATTCAAAGCTTCTTCGCTATTTTTCCTAACAATTGGATTGGCCGAGTCCACATTGATAAATGGTGAGAATTTACCAATAATTAAATTATTCCAATCTATGAAATATAACAAAATATATATTATTATTACATACTAAAATGATTTATTTTTAAGAAATTCTTAAATATTTTTCATTATAATTTACCTGAACTATTTAAAATGATATCAGGTCTAGTAAATGGTCCTGGACGATCTTTGGCAGGGCCTGATAGAAATTCTCTCTTGAGCAAAGGATGTACCAATGGAACACAGATAAAATCATATCTGAAAAGAAATCAAGCTCATATAGAAATTTTGTAAAAAAAACCAAGTTCCGTTGAAAATTTAACGTAAAATTTACAAAATGAATAACTTACTTTGAAGAAGTTGCGGTGAATAGACAATCATTTAGATTTGCAGCACAACAGAAATCCAATCCACAAGAAATTGGCTTTTGATTTGTCATTTCAATATATCGTCAAGTATACAGTATGTTCCCTTTCTGAAATAATCATGTTGGATGTATAAATTCACACTATTTATTGTATATCATGCAAGATAATAAAATAATATACCCCAGCATCACATGAAAATATGTAAACATAACATGTAACATGTACACATTGTGATTAGATGTTCTAAATACATGACATAAAATTTATCTACAACTCACCTCAAATATTAATACTGATTTGTTTAACACTGTTTTATCTTTATTTTACATGTAGATACTACTAATAATATTAATTTATATAAAATGATGATACATTTGTAGCAATCAGAGGTTATAATCAGTTAAAGTGTTTAGAATCTGCAGCAGAAACTACGGAGACACCTAACGAAGCAGTACAGATCTGTTAGGCTTTTTTACAGTCAAAATAATAAATAAATAACCTTTTAATACCTGTAATCAGTAAAATCAGTAAAATTGGTAAATTCACGGTACACTCCAGAGAGGGTTTTTGTAAAAGTCAAAATTTGACGAACGCTTCGTATGAAGTTGGCCACGAATCTATAACGCAACGGTCGGGCTGCGTTCAGAAATACCAATCACTAAGGGTAGAGTGGCATTTAATTGACCAATCAGGATGAAAAACTAATGATCAATTAAATGTTATTCTACCTTCAGCGTATATTCTCGAACGCAGCCTACTACGAATTCGAAATTTGAGATAAAATTGAAATTTGACCAATCAGCACAAAGTTCACGAAATTTCATTAAACTCGAGTCCCGTTAACTTTGTACTGATTAGCCAAATTCAATTCAATCTCAATCCCCGATCCATAGTCTGATACTGCCCTAAGCCCTGAATCTTAAGAAATTGACCAATCACAGTCGATTATTCTCCTTACATTCGACTATGATCGGGCAATTTCTTAAAGCTTAGAGCTTAAAGCTATTACACACTGGGACTTAAATGGACCTTTTTTTGCCTATTGTAGAAAGTCTCAAGATCTGACTATGAATACCGTCCTATGATTGGTGTATACTTTTATATCTACCAATCACATCCATCTTCCAAAAGTTGACCACTCAATCGATATATTCGCTGACCCGGCCTGTATTTCATATGGTGAATTCGATTGGACGCTCCAATTTCGCAATAGCAAGTATTCATGGTCCATTCTTGTATTTAAAATTATCATAAGTTCATCTTCGGTTGCAGTACAAATCGTTTTATCAGCTAAAGGACAATATGTCTACCGGAAAATTGCTCTTTAATACACTTTGAATAATTTTCCTGGATCACGAATATCGCAGATAAAAAGTTCCTGCGTTTTTTTTTTTTTTTGAGACAAAACATCCCTTTCTACGTGTCTCTGGCTCCGCGAGAGGTCTCTGTAATCCTCTCTGCTGGCCCGTAACGGCAAAAGCAACAGGTTCCAATTGAATCATTCAACAAAGGAGAACGAATCGCAAGGGCATCCGAGGAGGACGTGTTTCGATCAGGTTTGGTCAATTTGTGTATCTTGCAGCACCGATTTGTCCAGTGACTATATATTTCAAGCTGGATCATACCGCTGCTATTTAACTCAACGATTTGGATCACGTAGATCACGTAGTGAAACAGAAAAGTCCAGTTGCATTTAAATCGCTCTTCATTCATACAAAACCCCTGTATATGCCTACTCTTTAACCGTTATAAGAGATGAATTTGAAACAATTTCAGCGATAACTGCTAATCTTTCCGAGACTAGTGTGAATCGGTCTATAAATTTGTAAGAATAGCGTTACCAGCCATTTAATATTTACACGTTAACTATCGCGCTGATTTATATAGTTTATTTTTTATAAATTTGTCGTATTTGTTATATTCGTTATCAGCGGCGCAACGATCTCGTACGGGAGGCCAGTATCACGTATACGTGACAGCAAATTCGTTTCCTCGTCCACATTATTTGAACTGAATATTTTTACAGAATTATATAAAAGAAAAATAACGCGATCTGTATGTGGAGCGGGAGGAGAAGTTCTCTAAATAAATTCTAGTATCAAACATGATATTGTAATTGTAAGTTGAATCTTTATCTCATAGATTTAAGCTTAGAAGCTTAAGAAGACGGAAGATTGAAATAACTTGAAAGAACTGATAACAACAAAGATCCAACCATGTTTAACAACAAAGATCCAACAATGTCTTCTCAAGAAGATGTGAGTAACGGACGTATGGCAAATTTTAAATACACCAATAGACTTGATGTGAGTATAAATAAAAATATTTCCTAACTTATGTTTGACATAAATAACGATGTATGAAGCTGTAGTATAAACTCTTCTTAAAAATAGTTCAATGTTCAGTATATGAACCACTTTGTGTCAATATTTTTTTGTAATTTATTTATACACTTTGTGATACAGAAATTTAATTTGTGTGTGTGTGTGTGTGTGTGTGTGTGTGCAGTATATGAAACAATGTTTGATAAGTTTGTTATACTCTAGGAAGCACGAAGGAGAAGGAACATAGTGTACACAGAGCTGCGCAAAGCCAAGAAGGATGAACAATTGTCGAAGCGACGTAATCTCAACACGGAAGAGGAGGTGTTGAATCTGTCGTGTGAAGCTATTTCGCCCGGCTTTTCCACCATAGAGGACATTGTGGCTGCGATGAAATCGCCGGACGAAACGTTGCAGTTGCAGGCGACACAGACCTGCAGGAAATTGCTGAGTCGAGAGAAGCATCCACCGATAGAGACCATAATAAATCGTGGCATAGTGCCGCGCTGCGTCGAACTTTTGAATTGCCACCACAAGTAAGCGAATGCCATCGGACGATCGCCGATTCTCTCATTCGTGTTCGTGAGGGAGAGGCTAACGCCTTCGTTTCGCCTGTTTAGCGTTGCCTTACAATTCGAAGCGGCATGGGCGTTGACCAATGTGGCTTCCGGCACGTCCGAACAAACGCAAGTCGTCATCAAATACGGAGCCGTGCCGCGTTTAGTGGTGCTGCTGAAATCCCCGTCGGCTAACGTTGCCGAGCAAGCGGTGTGGGCTCTCGGAAATATAGCCGGGGACGGGCCACCCGCGCGAGATCTTATTCTCGCGCACGACGCTGTGCCTCTTCTTCTTGATTTAATCAAACCGGACACCTCCGTACGTCCAAATCTTTTTTTTTCTTCATATCTACGAGTATAAACGCCATTATGTATTAACGTATAAATGATATTTCTGATATTTCTAATGGTAACACGCAGGTGACGTTTATGCGCAATATCGTTTGGACATTGTCTAACTTGTGCCGGAATAAGAATCCGCCTCCGCCATTCGATATAGTTAAAACTGCCCTTCCGGCATTGAATCGTCTGCTTACAAGCCCGGATCGAGATATACTCGGTGAGATATCACATGTTTTTTGTTTAAAATATTATATATATATATATATATATATATATATATATATTCATTCATAATATGTATTTAAATGAACTATCCGTATCCGGACAGAATATTAACACCGATATCCATATTGTTTAGCTGATACTTGTTGGGCACTGTCTTATCTCACCGATGGGTCCAACGACAAGATACAAGCCGTACTGGACAGTGGCGTCGTGCCTCAACTTGTGTCATTGCTCACGTCACAAGAAGCAACTGTCCTCACTCCAGCGTTACGTACGGTTGGAAATATAGTGACCGGCGACGATGCTCAGACCGATTCTATTATCCTGGCGGGAGGCTTGAAGCATCTCTGTAACTTGTTGAGTCATTCACGGAAGAACATCATGAAAGAGGCCGCTTGGGCGATCAGTAATATCACGGCTGGCAATACCGAACAAATTCAACATGTGATAAACGCCGGGATATTGCCCCCATTGATTCAAGTACTTGATTCCGTAAGTGTACATTTTGTACGTGCATATAAACTAATATCTAGATACGTTTCGACAAATGCCACGGAAGGATATCGCTTTACATTAACAATTCTTATTTGACAGGGGGACCTTAAAGCACAAAAAGAGGCTGCATGGGCCGTGACTAATTTGACATCAGGTGGATCGTATCAACAGCTGGCCGACTTGGTACAGGCGGGTGTACTGCCTCCTCTTTGTAATTTATTGGCCGCGAAAGATTGGAGTACCACCGTCGTCGTCTTAGACGGTCTGACCAACATCTTAAACACGGCGGAGAAATGCAACCAGGTCGATCAAATCGCCCTCATGATAGAGGAAATCGGAGGGTTGGATAAATTAGAGGCTCTTCAACATCACAAGAACGAACAGATTTACCAGAAATCTATGGCTATGATCGATACATTTTTCTCCGGGGTTTGTACAATCGTATTATAGACTTGAGAAACCGAAAATGGAAGCGTGTGAGAACTTATGTTCGACGTGCTGATTTTTACACGTCAACATATGGAGTTCTTTCGATAAAAAGAGAAAAAAAAATCGTTTCAGGATGAAGAACATGCGAGCCTTGCTCCTGCGGCAAATGATGAGGGACAATTAGAGTTTAAAGCACCGGAGAGTACGTCGACGGACTTCACCTTTTGAACGCGTATATCGCGATTATCTGGGAGGAAATGTCAGTGAAAGAACCTGTAAATACCTACGAGACTTGATTATTCTAACGATGTTACAGTGTGTAATTATATCTTGCAAATCAGTGCTCGGAATTATTTCTACAAACGGGGCGATCTTCGAGGGCTACGCCTCCTTGCTTACCTTCGTCGCGCCAGCTTGTCTCGCGGATTACGCAGCTAATAGACCGTCAGTGACAAGTCGCGGCATTCAGCCTCGGGTCGGTTGACATTGTTACGAAATCCGTGGGGCGCTTCCTGATATCCGAAAGTTCACATTGAGACAGCTCCTTCACATATATTTTTATACGCTAGCATAGACACTTATATACATTTATATATTGTTAACATTATGATAAATCAATTATAAGAGTTGTTTCGATAAGAATTTTTCAATTATTAGGAAACGCCTCGCAGATTTCGCCGCCGGCCGAACTGGAGCGGCAAGGAGAAGGCAGGGGGGAGCAAGGAGGTGTGGCGCTCTTAAAAATCGCCACGTTTGTACGAATAGTTTCGAGCACCGTTATAAACAGCGTTATCGACAGATGGAAAGTGATCGTAAATTCACCGAACAGAAATAACTGGCTTTTTTTTCGGCAAAATTTCAAATTCTTATCTCACTATGCCGCCTTGCAAATGCTACCGTGAACTTGGCCGATTAGATTTTTTTTTTGTATCGATTCTTCGATTTTTATTATCTCTCACAACCCTTTACACACGACAATCATTCTTTAAATGCTCACACAAAATCCCCCATCGTTATTCATAAATTTAATTCCTCCCGAGTTTTCGATACGGTTTAACGTAATTTTTTAGAGCGATAAGAGCGTTTTGCATTGAGGATAATTGAGCTTGGGTTCTTTTTTTGTACGACTTAATCAGAAAAGGAGAGATGCGGCTTGATTTCGCTTTACACTTCCCGTTTATACAAGAGATGATTATTATACACGAATCTTGAGTTCCCTTGCAAATTCGATATGTTTACGCAGTTACTCGATCATTGTTTTACCCGTTAATTCGCAATTCGTTTCACATATGAAGGGATATATCGATGAAGAGATATTACAATAACATTCGCAGAAATCAATTGATAACTGATCTATTATCCATTATTATATCGTCTACCATATACATCTTTTCTGTAAAAAGAGAAACTCAGTATTTACGTTTTTCTATGTATTTTTATAATAAAATGTCAATGAGTGCATAAATAAATTTGGCCACTTGAGTTTAATATTTCTCTGTGAAAAGTCCTTGTTAAGGAGGATCGACGTGTAAATGTTGCGTCACGGGTCCAACGCTCCGATGATTGTTACTGTTTCTTCCGTATCCGTGCGTCAAGATAATTAACTTTAGAAAATGGTTCAATCGATTCGACGAATCGAGTCGCAAATTCGTGTAATAAATAATCTATATTTACGATAGAAGATTGGTGTATGATCTATATAGTCTCTCGAATTGGTTATAACTAGCCTACTGAATTATAGTAAAGACAAGACGCTCGGATCGTAACGAGTGATAGAAGCATACACACACAGCTCTTGATTTGTTCGATTACAAGAAGCGTTAGAATAAGTGCCAACCAAACGGCTTGGTTTTCTCAGTTCTTTTCTCTATTTAGAAGCGTCTGAATAGAAAAAAAAAAACGTTAAGTAACGTCACTAATGTCCCGTTGTGAGGCGTCCGTTTATTATTATCGGCCTAGTATAAAGTCGCTTTGATCGTTGACCAGGAAATGATAGACAAATGCGGCCTTCTTCTTGTCGAATGTAATCTGAGTCGCGCGACTTCGGTGACGGTCGTCTCTGCTTCTCGGCGGGTCCCTCAGGAATATCGATCCGAACAACGTCGCTGCAACAAATGCATGAAGCATTAGATATCGTGAATAAAACGCCGAGAAGGAAGTACGAGGCGCTCAGCGAACGGTGAGCTAAATGCGCGGTATAAAAGCGAGGATGTAAGCAAAGGCTCGTATTCTGAAGTCTCTTTCATCGATAAAGTGAGAATTCAGAATATGGATCGAAATGTACAATATAACGAGTATGAAGAACAAGTTTACCGAGCGTCTTAGGATCGAGCTCGTTATCTTGCATGTGACTCAGTAACTCCTGCAGGAACGAGCTGATATAGAGAAAGACCGTCCTCCTGGTCTCGGGCAGCTGCATCACGATCTGCGAACGAACGAAGTAACAGTGAATCGAACGATTTCCGGTCGGAACGTGCAGAAGAAGAATCTCAAGTTCCACGGTGATCTCTCATGTAAGGACAGAGGCAAGCGAAGGAGACGCGAAAAACATTTTCCTTTGTGTTTCGCTCACTTGTTTACACTGCAAGTAATTAGTCGCCGCAGTCAGGCAGACGTTGTGCAGGTTGTACGGTATCAGGGGCTCCGCTGTGGATTCCAGAAGTAGCAGCAACGCCTCCGCTACCGAGTGCACACTACCAGCTGTGAACATCGTTAAGGATCACGCGCTTTTTTTTCTCTCTTTCCTACGGTAAACGTAATTATTCGAGAACGCAAGAAGGATACGCATCGGGTCCTGGCTCCATTCGTCCAGCCAGTCTCGAATGGCCACGATTTCGCTGTGAAGACCCGGCGTCTCGAAGAGTCCCGGAGTCTTAATGCCGTGTCGGTACAGCCTGTCCACCAAATGCCAGATTTCCTTGGGTACCGCGTACGGCTCTTGCGACGGATTCTTGTTGTTCTCCTGCGAGTTCCAGAGCAAATGTTAAATACACGAGAAGGACACGTATCTGGGAGTAACGACCGGACGATGACGCAACGCGATATCATAGCGGATATTCACCAGTTCCATTATTCGTCCGATGGGGATCTCTCTGATCGGGACTGAAATGTGAACCAACGCTTCCATGGAGGAGCCGAAGCAGCTTCTCTCGTAAGTACCTGAAGAAGGTGTCATCGATTCGCGTTATTCTCGTTTTAACGTTCGCTCGTCCGAGCAACCAACAATGCCACCCGTAATTTATCTTACATCTACGATGTATACCTGTTACAGTGATGAAAATATCTTTGCCTCCCTCGAGATGTAGCACCAAGATATCGTACAGCTTATCCTCACCGGAGTTGAGCTTACATGCGGTTTTCTTGTCCACGTACACCTCCAGCTTAATATCACATTTTTCACCTAAATATGAGAAAGGTAGAAGACGCGTGAAAGTGTACGATGGAAGATTCGCGAATGGCTGAGCGAGAAACGTAGAGAAACAGAAATCCACACCTGGTTTTATAAAACCCGTGTAAGGTTCTATGTGTAGCCAGTCCTTGCAATAATTGGTGTCGTCTAACTTTTTTATGAATTCAAATTGCACCGGCACCTAATCGTTGGGAAATGTTAGAAATAAAGGTGAGAACTTCCCGTTGAGACATTCGGTGAATGTCTCACTTATCCCGCTCTTATTACTTACTTGTCCTGTATTGGCAATGATGAGCTCTTTACTACTGGGCTCGAGGAACTTTAAAATATCGAAGATGATATCGGTGGTATCGACCATTACCTGAGGCAAGTACTCGTTCTCCAATTTATCGAGCTTCTTCATGACTTCCTCGTGAATCTTACGATACTTAGCCGTGTCTATAATTCGTACCTGTGTTGCGGGAAATTGGATGAGAGAACTTACAATAGAGTAACAACACTATTATTCCTCGAGTAGCGGCATATAATTAAACGGTACGATTCAAAAGGTGGAAATAGTATTTTTGCACGCGCACTTGCCTGGGAATCGAAGCTCGCGCTGACCGGTTTGTGATCGGATATCTTGAATTCCATGTAGCTTTTGTAGCTGATCGATTTAATCGCGTCTCCCTTCCACAGCACCCGATCGCACCAAGCCGGGGCTCTGCACTTCTCGCTGCGTTTCGTGTCATGTGAGACAACAACAATTGGTTAAATTTGACAAAAGCTCGGCTAAATTCTATCCTATGAAGGATCGTTCGTTTGTTCACGCTTCAGATATATGCTGATTTAATACAGTTTGAAAGAAACCTCGAGTCCCAGTTGTCGGTGCCAGGATCATATTTATACGTCGGCTTAAAATCGATGTGAGCCTCGTGAAATCCGTGAAACACACGTCCCACCTTGCGTTGCTGTCCGAGCTGGTCGAACGTCAGGACGGGAGCGTAATTGCCCTCCGCGATATGATGCTTCGCCGCGTTAACGTCCATCTCTGTTATCCGATAATTTAAGTCTCCCAACCAATAAATCTGGCTACGAAGTGAATACGATTTAAACCAATTATAAGTAACCCGAAGTAGATCGAACTGAACAGGGCGAACGATGAAATTAGACTAGAAATACAAAACCGTCATGCGTAACGTATATACAAGAAATATATAAAAATTAACATAATTATGAATATATATATATATATATATTTATGAGCGAAACTTACTCGTGGTCTTTAAAACTCTTAGGTGGCACAAATTTCGCGAATGATAATCTCGCGCAGATGTCAGCGTAATCCTGATTACGTCGTTCAAATTCTTCGCAGTGCGCCGCCAAGTGAGCGTTGACGAAGCAGACGGAGGTATTGTGAATTCGACAACTCACTGCGACACCGCCCTTGTTACCCTAGGAATGGAGAAGTAAACAATCAAGATGATTAAAATATGTAACAATCGACCGCGTAATAAAAGAAATCAGGTAACACATATACTTCGTGATCGTCTTGTTATCAAGTTTGATCGAAACACAACATTCACGCTGACAACACGAATAACAGAAGCTTACCAGCTTTCCCATGATGCCCGTCCCGACTGTATCCGTACTGTATTCGATATAAGGTATATGAGTTTCGAGCGCATATACCAGCAACATTATGCCCACTAATCTAACGAGAGCGACTTGAGTGTAGGTGCCGCCAGGATGCAGCGAATTAACTACAACTTGTCTGGGGAAAAGAGAACTTTCACACGTTACGCGCATGGCTGCGACCACAGACTAACGCATATTAAATCCCAAGCTTTCGTAAGTGACACAAGTGTCGTACCTCCATTCCTCCTCTCTGGGGGTTTCGTGAAACAGGAATGCTTCCTTGCTTAAATCTAATTCTTGGAATCCGATTGCGTATATGTCCGGTGGTGTTTCATCGGCGCTTAACCACTTGTGTAAATTAATGCCATTCGGGGGTTGTCCGTTCACATTCCACGTGCAAGTAAGTATACTGTAATATTATTAACTAGTGACTGGTCGAAGCTTATGTAGGGTAATACTCGTGAGTCGAACGAAGGAAGACACGAATGAAACTCTCGTGATAATCAGATCGACGCGAACGAACCGGAATGTCTTGCTGTACATGTAATCATCCTCTTTACAGGCCATCTGGTACCGTACCACTGACTCTCTTGCAGCCACCGGGGATCTACCTGAAGCGATGCATGGTCTTGGTACTACGAAGTCAGGACTCTCAAGGTTGAGCAACTGCAAAGACAATGAACTCTTCGAGAGGAATTTCTAATGAACGAGATATTTCTTATATTTATATTCATCGTTCGTCCTTATTACAGTTAGTGGTTAACTCACGGGGTCAGCGACATCTGGCACATCTTTCTCGGCAGTCGCCAGGCTCCTCGTGCTTCTCATTAACTTTTCAATCCACGAGAATTCCGCCGCCGGACTTTTCGCTGTCTGATATACTGCAATCGTGATCGTTTGTTATTTCAGAAAGAAATTGCTTACATACGAAGATTGTGGAGTTTTGTGGAGGATTGTGGCGTTGTCAGGTATGTTCTTCTATTGTATCCGCTCTATTTACAGAACGATGTCTCTATCTAATCTAAAAGGTTCGAGCATAGGGAATATCAGTAGTACAAGCGTGTACCTTCTATCGCGCGAAAAATCTCCGACACCAAGGAACTCGTCGCTTCTCCCAGCTTCATCTCGAATATCAGACGAAGTTTCCTCGACGCGATATTCATGTATACGTCAAGTCCATCCTGTGCCTCTCCGTTGGTATCTGTAGTAACGAGAGAATAGGGAAAACTTGTTGAAAGTGTCTGGCGAAGAAAAATTTCGCGAAGCGCTCGCTCGACGACGAGGGTGGTTCAAGTCCGAGTAAAATTCACGACATCGAGTTATCCTAGAGACATTACGACGTACCTATTCCACACTTGAAATCTTGATCGATGGGCAGTATCCCTTCGAGAGTGAGATCGCTGTACACTTGCGGGGGTGTCTTCGAGGTGTGGAAAATCGCTAAAGCGTGAGTCGAACCTTTGTAAATGAGCGCAACGTATCTCGTGGATTTGATCCATCCTTGTATCAACGACGCTTCGGTTGCCTGTGTGTATCGACAGTTAAGGCGTTGTAATGAAATATCAATGTGTATTTCACTTCACGCACTTTTTCATTCACGCACCTAACGTTGCTTCGCTCGATAGAACAACATAGAGTGTGCCGTAAACACGGCAGAGATAATCTATTATTTATTAAATTTAAGGAAGGATACAGTTACAACGGTCTCGCCCGAGACGAACTTCGACTGCACGATCGCAAGCGGTTCCGTCGTCGACATTTTCCCCAACGCTAACTTGTCACCGGCAACACACGAGTAATTAATTAATGAATTCCTACGACCGTTTCAAACACCGTGAAACCTGTCATTTGTCCGTATGCCATAGTGCATAGTGCATATATATATACATATATATACACACATATATATGTATATATATATATATATATATTATGAAAAACAACTTGAACGGAGCTGCTTTTGATAACTCTCGTCCGGAGCTTGCAGCAGTCTGTGCACACTTGTGCACTACTCTCCTCTAGTGACTATTTTCTTCTTGCTTTAGGTTTTTTTTGGGTCACTAGGCGCTTCGAAACGTCAAGCGAGCGCGCATCATGCGTATCGACGAAAGATAAACGTGACAGCGAATGTTTTCTGTCAAAGAATGGCGAAACGTGCGTGAGGATATTTCGCCTGGACTAATCGAAATACCCAGATAATACGCGTAATCTCTTGATAAGTATAAATGCATAATAAAGGGGTAATATAACCTCGTGCATTGATTGATATAAAAACGTTATTTCGTTTTTGCGAAACATCTCTTCCTATATTTTGCACAATATGGATAAATTAAGGAGAGCCCTGAGCGGCAACGAACAATGCGACGAGGAAAGTGGCATTATTACACAGGTAATTATGTTTAATGAATAGATTAGGATGTGTGGTTAGGTGACGGGGAGAGGTGTCGCACTCTGTTACTTGCATAAAAATGATATTATTGATAAACTGAAATTGTCTTTTTAAATGCTTACATTCGACGACGGAAGGCTGATGTGGATTTTGTGGTAAATTATTAGAATTACATTTCTGTATACTTACAATATATTTAATATTATATGTGTAATTATAATGAGTTTTCTCGTCTCATATGAAATTTGGAGACTGATGCTTGTACTTCTCAATATAGGTCATGGACCAAACGACATTGAGTTGGTCTACTAGGATAAAGGGTTTCGCAATATGTTTCATCGTGGGTATACTATGTTCTTTTCTCGGATCTTTTGCCTTATTCCTAAATAAAGGCCTTGCAGTATTCGCTGTATTCTACACTCTAGGCAATATTATTTCTCTGGCTAGGTAATATGATGTATAACTGTTGACTGTCTTGAGATTGTTAACCTCTTATGATAGAAAAGATAAATGATTTATAACATTAGAAAGAACTTGTATTATAATGAGATAATATTGCATCGACTGTATAACCCAATGTATAAACAATATTACATATGTTAACTTGGATATATTTTATATTTTAGTACCTGTTTCTTAATGGGGCCATTTAATCAAATTAAAAAGATGTTTGCACCAACAAGATTAATTGCAACCATAGTAGTGTTCGTTACTATCGCTTTGACATTGGTCGCTGCTTTGCACGTAAGTATACATCATTTTCTTGTCTGTGAGATATACTTACGATAACTTATAATTGATTTTTGATATTCTTCTAAATCTCTCTTTTTTACAGTTGCACAATCCTGGCTTAGCTCTCCTATTTATAATTATTCAGTCCCTAGCTATGACGTGGTATTCTTTATCGTACATACCATATGCTCGCGATGCCGTTAAGAAGACGGTAGAATCTTGTATCACGTGAGATAGAAAATTAACTCTCTTTGTATCAGTTTGTTATGCAAATGTGTTATGTACTGTTTCGAAAAAATCCTTTTACACCCGTGTCCCGTGGCATTGAACATGAGTCATACTCTACTCATATTTGCAGAGAAACTATGTGGTAAGAAAATTGAAAGATATATTTTGTAAATTAATCTTTACAAATAATACGATCATGCTATTGTAATAAATGTACTGAATTTTATGCAGGATAATTTCCGTGGCTTCTTAACAATTTGTCGACCAAACTTCTAGTAGTAATAATTATGAAATCAGTACAGTATTTCACTTTGTTCATAGCAGCTGAATTTAAAATAACATATATATGTTATATTTAAAATATATATGTTATATTTAAAATAACATAATATGTTATATTTAAAATAACATAAGAGAGAGAGAGAGAGAGAAAGAGGAGAGAGTGTGTTTATATGTTTAGTACATTAACAACGTACTAATACATATCTCGTCATTTATATTTAGTTCGTTAATGTCCTACTGATACATCTCATCGTCGACAGTGTTAATAGGATGCAATCAATTCATATAAAAAGAAAAAGAAAAAAACTAAGCGATGTAAATGACACAGTGATAATTGACACAGTGTTATTTATCAACATTTATTATTTGGCATTTTAATACGACCAGATTGTATTTATGCTGTTACTCTGCAATTTGTAATTATTCAGTCATCTGCCTCGAAAAGTTTTCTATTTTTTATAAATGTATACTGGAACTTAATAAACAGTTATATTCTTAAATACATGTGTAATTTCAAGTATATTTAATCTCCTTCTTGAGTTTGAGATAGATGGGAGAAAGATAGTAGATACAGTTTAGTAATGTTGAGGAAGTGCAAAAATTAGCCGATAATTTTATTCGTTTCAAAAACAGGCGCTTCTTTATCGTAACATCCATTTTTGCCGGAAAAATGGCCAAAAGTGGTAGACAGCGCCGGAAAATGTTTTAATTAAAAAATATTACATCATTTATAAGACATTAATCAAAATAAAGTCGCTTTAAAAACGATGAAAATTTTTGTATATCGCAAAAAAAAAATAACGGTCGCATTCATAATCGAATCTTATCTTTAAGCCATCTTAAATTTATCTACAGATACTGTACGACTTATTTAATTGACTACGAAACATCTGTAGATGAATTTAAGGCAGCCTTAAGGTGGGAGTCACGGTAGAGATCTCTCACTGAGACTCCCCAGGAAAAACCTTATTTCTAGGTTTTAGATTGAAATAAAGAAAGAACCGCTTTATTTATGAAAGAATCGCTTTATGATATTCATAATCGGGAGAAAGCCATCTGCAGGGACGTGCAGAATATTTTATAGCCGATTTTATAACAGTCAAAGTAAAATAACGTGTTTGGTCATTTGAACGAGCATTCGAAGCACAACGAAAATCCGTATATTTATTTATCCGTATATATATTTATTTATTTGTAAATTTCTTAGGATCTTATTGCAAAATCGGGCTCCATATATCCCTAGTGAATATCAGAGAGAATATTATCTTATCTAAACATATCTATTATCTCACCAATGACATGCATCGGCCGAGTTGGCAGTCTGGTTGTTACATAGAGATCTGTATTTATGTTGTTACATAGAGATTTGGTTTGATGACGTCATGTTGTCCGCGAATGTTTCGCAGCGTCTAACCTATGTTAAGTTCACGAAATGATTGTTGAGATATTTGACTATACCAAGGATGTTAAAGCGCCTCACATTGGTCACTTTCATCAATTTTTCGTCACAGATCACAAAATGCTTGTTATCAGGATCAATGAGATCTTTTTGCTTGATATACTCGTACACTTTTCGAAAAACTTCGTCCTGAGACATTTGTTCGGCGCCGACGATCGCGGCGAGCTCTGGGGACAACTTCAAGATGTGTGTATAATTCAGTAATCTGTTGCTGTCTCGCGGTAGTACGAAGCTTCGGTTTCTTCTCAGTTTCGTGTTGCTTTGTGCATTGTTGATGTTAACTATCTCCGTTATCTTATCAGCTTGTAGAGCAAATTGAGACAGCTCGGTAATATTGCTCATAGATATTCTGCAACGTATACTGTCCGGCAACTGTTCCAGAAACAAGGATTTTATCTTCGCGTCGCTGAATCGCCCGGCGGCAAGATTGCGCAGCCTCTGCAGGAAGTTGGACGGTTTCTCGTTACTTTCCATCGTCAGCTTCCTCAACTTCGTCTCCATCATTTCGTCCGAGTGGCGGATGATTCGTTGCTTCAAGGCTTCGTACTTGCCGTTTGCAGGCGGTGAGATTAAGATGTCGGAGACAAAGGATAGTGTGGCCTGATTGAGATGGATCACTATGTATCTATATTTGGCGTCGTCTTCGATGATGTTGAACAATGCGAAGAACGCCTCGACCTGCACGAACCATAAGCTCGAGTCGTTCTCCCAGAACGGCGGGAAGTTGATGAGTTGCATGGAATTAATGTTCTCCGGCTTGAAACGAAGCTTCTCCTCAGCTTTATCCGTCTCGTCAACAGTCAGCCCTCTTCTGTTCATCCTACTATACCCGGTGTCGATCTCACCCTGGCCGATGGCTATCATCATCTTTTTCTCCTTGTTTGTTAGATTAATACGCTCCCACATTGCTTGCATCTTCTGCTAATTTCCTTAGCGGTGTTGGTTGCACACCGTGGTTGCCTCCGAAATTTCTTGGCGTTGGTAATTTACGAAATATCACACTATCAAAATACGCGTGTAGTTCTACTTCGGCAATAACTTCGCGCGTATTCACTGAAAAAGATTAATATTATAGTATAATACTTAATATACGCTTTTTCATTCTTTGTGATCGAATGTTCTAGAAGCTATTGAGCTTGCCGTCCCAAGTATAAATGGAAAAGTGGAAACGCATGGAGGAGCCCAGTCTCAAAACCAGAATGGAATGATAACCGATTAGTTGTCCTCCCACTATTTTTCCTTTTCCTTTTGGAAAAAAGAAATTTATGAAAGACTGGCGTACGTATCGTACTGCAAACGCTTTGAAGCATGGACCAATCATATGCAGGATTTGTACTCGAGTCAACGTCGAAGGTAATAATATCCGATATCCAATGGGAGAATAGATTTTCTGGAGACAAAAGTGTTGTTAATTAAGAATCGTAAAAAATGCAACTTCCAATAAGAGATTTCACATTATGAGGTTTCTAATTGGTAACATGTCTCTGGAAAACGCGTTCTCCTATTAGATATCGATTGGATGTCGTATGTCGGACATCCTGGAGGGAGTGTAAACCCTCGATTAGGATATTATTAGTCCGTTCTTTATAGCTGCACTGTTGAACTGGTGCAATAAGATGAAGTGAGACAAGTATATGTTTTCTCACTTCAACTTATTGCACCAGTTTAGCAGTGCAGCTATAAAGAACAGACCATTTCACGTATTGTACGAGTTTGTCGGACGTGCCGATTAGTTGTAACAATTTCTTCAGACACCCTAGAAATTTTTTCACCAACCAATCGGCAAATCGGACAAACTCGTCGTACATGTGATATCAGTCGTAGGTAAGTTGTTTGAGTTTTGAGCAAATGAGGTTCGAGTCTCGAATAAACAGAGTTCAAATTATCAAGAAAAATATTTGACGAACGAAGAGGTGACACGAATTTCCAGCGAGACAGCATAAATTTTAGATTTTTCAGCATTTCAGATGTGTGGAACATATAATGATAAGCGAAGAAGTGTGGCAAATAGTAATTCATTAGATATTAAATGAATTAAATGTTTATAAAGCATTCGGTCTGTTTTTTAACTGCGCCAATTCAACAATGCAGCTGAAAAGGACAGACAATTGTATTTGAGATGTCATAGGATGACTTATGAACTTTGTCGAACATCTTTAAACGACTTTCTATAATAAGCCGTAAATTATAACGCATAAGAGAATCAGAATCCTTCATTCTAATTCTCAGGATATCCACAGATTGATTCTCTTATGCCTTATGCGTTATGATTACCGACTTATTGTACAAAATCTTAAATCTTTTAGACTCTTGTTTTCTGCGTGAGATTCATTTTACACATACACACACACAGAAAGAGAGAGAGAGAGAGAGAGAGAGAGAGAGAGAGAGAGAGAGAGAGAGAGATTCTCAGAATTAAATAATTGAAAACGAAACTTTCATCTTATACTCGAAATTCCAATCATTTTATTCAGACAATATATATCAGCATCAAATATCATTAAAAATCGTAACACATTGTAACATTTTTGTAACACTCAACGACACAATTCGTAGGGGGACAGATTAAGCAAGTTAATCGAATTTTGTTATCAATTTTTGTATAATTCAACAACTCGAGTAATGAGCGGCATCTGATGTACAAATGAATGGACTTACGAAGTAAACTCACCGCGTTATTTCTCGCGATCGACATCGATGTAGATTAGTACTACAAAGAATCAGTTCACGGATTTATTTATAAAAAAATTGACTAAAACTAAATGCTAAAACCGCGTTGCAAAAACTTATAATGATAATTAGAGCAATGGTCAGCTAAGAATGTGAGACCTCTGCATTATTATTTACAGTTTTGCGACAAGTAGAGTATTAATAACCGATTAATACATTTCGGGTACACAGTATATTTGTTTCATTTATACAGACTCAACAATGTACACATAGCGATCTTTAAATTCAATTCATCTTGATCACCTGATATTTTTCCTCTCTCTCTTTTAAACCACGAACCAAATGGGAAATCAACGAACGATTGATTTTAAAATACGTTCATCGGGCAAACTCGGCCTCTTGCCGTTTACGATAAATCTGTCAGAGCGTTAATTATCACAACGGTTATTATAAATGAGTATCCTTCGAGGCTGCACGGACAGACGGAGCGTAACGAAAGAGAAAGAAATTCACGTTCATATCTGCAATTTACGCGATGAACAACCAGCGTAGGTTCTTGAGTTGTTGCGTTCAGCGTAACGTGTGTATGTATGTATGTTTTTTATCATTAAAATTAGTCTAGATATTTTAAAAATATGACAACATCGATATATAACCCTCTTAAACATTAATTTTAACTACATGCATACATAAATATATATATATATATATTTTGTATATATGTATAATTATTCTCTATGCTATACACGGTAACTAGTCTTTACACTGTTTTTTTGTATGTACAATTATGCTAAAAGTCCTCCTTCGTTTTTCGTTTTCGAATAAAATTTCCGCGCCTCGGCGCCATAAAAAAACGTTTTTCCAAATTCTCCCTCCTTTTCAAAAATTATCCCGTAAAAAAGGAAAAGCTGAAACGCTCCCTTCTCTCGCGAGACAAGATCTCTCTTCTGTTTTGTTTTCCGAACAACAACGGTTGCTCTTACCTCTCCCCCGTGTGTAATGCGCGACGCGATTGTTCGATAATTGCAACGCGAAGACGCTTCTCACGCGCTTTTCAAGGAAAAAAATGAAAATTCCGTTCGCTCGTACGTTCACATTGTGCGAGCCGATTTCTCCGGGATACGGTGCGCGTAAAAATTCGCCACCCGGTGTTAAGCGATGTTAGATATTGTCGACGGGGTATGGTTCGATATGAAGTGGTATCCAGCCAAAATGCGCGTAAAATTACTCTCGACTCGATCATCCGGCGCACACTGTGTTCTCGCATGACTAGACTTGTAATTCTTCGTACCAATACAATCGCGGCGCATCGTCCCCCCGCAACGTAAGGAACGGTATATGGTTCGGCGGACGAATCGCTTCTTCTGCTCGATTTCTGCTTTCCCACGATAGCAACCTCTCTCCCCTCGCACTGGATGCAATAGGAACTAAGTGGATTAAGTTTGCGCGATCCGACGCTGACGACTCGCTCTTGTGAGTCTCGTTTGAATCCTTCAGATCGAAAGAATGAGAAAAGGTAAAACGCTACAAATTCCTCTCGGTGAAGTGAAGAGTTAAAATTTACGAATTTCCAGTTGGCACTGTTCGGCGTCGGGTACGTTCACGTTCACCCATCCGGTGAACTCCGATCGAAATGCGTGGAAGCGCGCTTGATAGACCGCTTACAATGACGCCATTTTTGCTGAGCTGCTGAGCTCCTCGCCGGAGGAGCGCAAAGAGAGACAAAGAGAGAGAGAGAGAGAGAGAAAGAGACAAAGATAGATAAAGAAACGCACTTATGTAGTGCCGATGCAGATTTCGTCTCTCGGAGATCCCGTTTTTGCGCTCGCTGCTACTCCCTTCATTGGTACGATATTTGCCTGAACATACTGCTGATCTCCTCCATAGTCTTGTTTTTCGTTTCCGGCACTTTCTTGTATATGAAAATCGTGAAGAACGCCTGCAGTATCGCGAAGATGATGAATACATAAGCGCCTATCGCGTCCTGCAGCGGCAGGAAGCCGATGCTAACGATGAAATTCGCGGTCCAGTTCACGGCGATGGCGACCGAAGTGGCGGGCGGCCGGGCGGATTGATTGAAGAGTTCAGACACCAGGAACCACGGGATGCTTCCCGGGCCGGTGGCGAAGAGCACCACAAACATGATGACGAGCACAATCGAGAAGTACGCCGCTACTCGCGATGTTTCCTGAAAGTGAATTGCCAAAAGTCACATTAAAAGTAAATCAGAAGTAAATTCAAAGTAGTTGCGGAACATGTAACAATTTAACAGGAATTTCGATTCTCTCAAAGGTAAATTTGGTGATGGAAAAAAAGGCAAATTATTATACTCTCAAGGGCGTAAAAATTCAACATTAGACATTAGTCGTATCTTCAGCATCGCTGTACTTATTTGTTTTATCCAATTCAAATTCACGCTAAACGTAGGGCGGGATTACTGACAGCGAATATCAGGCAGATGGTGAGCAGAGCGGTATCCAGGAACATGCCGCCGAAGCCAACGAGAAGCAGCGTTTTCCTGCCCGCCTTCTCGACCAGCACCAGGGAAACGATGGTCATGAGGACATTCATCGCGCCGACGCCCATCGTGGCGTTTTGGGCGGCGTTCTTGTCGAGCTGCGCCATCGTGAAGATCTTCGTCGAGAAGAACATGACGGCGTTGATGCCGGACAGCTGTTGGGCGAACATGATCATGATGGAGATGAACAATGGGATACGCAGCGCCGGATTCACGAACAGCTCGCGCAGCGTGACCTTCGGTATCAGCTTCATCGACTCGTATTCGGCGCGCATCTCCTCCATCTCGTCGTGAACCTCGATCGTGCCGCGCAACCAAGTCAACGCTGGAAGCAAAAGGTCACCTCCGTGAGAAAGAGCGAAGGCCCGCAAAAGGGAAGAGCGAGACGAAGAGTCGAATTCTGCAGCGGAAGCGAGATGCATTGCGAAACTCATCGGGAGAAAAGTGTCGCAATTTTTAATACGTCGATTACGCGTGTGAGCGGCACGCTCGATGCTATATCCATACCTCTTTGCGCGTCCATGTCCTTGCCGCGGCTGAGCAACAGGTACTTGGGACTCTCAGGGCAGAGCGGCAGGGTGCACACCTGGAAGATCGCCGGCACGATCGTCAGGCAGAGCAGCAAGGGCCATTGCTCGACGGTGCCGAGTATCTGCTCCAGGCCGAGGATCTGCGACACCAGGATGGAGATGGTGATGACCAATTGATAGACGGTGCCGACGGCGCCTCTCAGGTGCACCGGCGATATCTCAGCTAAGTACATCGGCGCCAGACCGGCGTTCAGACCGGAGTTTATACCGATCAGGAACCTGCCGAAGATTATCATCTCGTAGCTCTTCGCCGCCTTGGCGCTACCCTCGAAGACCACGGTCAACAGCACCAGCACGTTGTTCAGCATCAGGCCACCCTTCCGGCCAAAGCGATCCGCCACCCAGCCGACCAGCGAGCCGCCTATCATGCCGCCGACGCAGAATATCGACACGGCCACCGACCAGATCAGCGTGACCTCCGACTGACTGGTCGGGACGTTCGTGCGATTCGCCTTCAGCTCGCTGATCCAGTCCTCGATAAGCTGAGGAACCATCGAAACGTTTGTTTAATATTTCCAATCTCGCTCCTTACTCCTACGATCACTTCATTTTCATCCTTGCTTCTCGACACGGTGACAAATTTCATGGTAAATTTAACACACTTCACATGTCCCACATATGGTTCATACAAGCTTTTGTGTTGATCTAACGCAAGACGAATGTGTTAAAAGAAATGCAAATATTATGCTAATTAACGTAGAATTAAGATCCGTGATGTGTTGATTGACACTGAAGCATGAAATGTGTTATTTTTACACTTACGCATGTTGTATACCGACTCAGAAAATATTGAGATAACATAAGCAAAATATGTTAAGTTAACACAAGGATATGTTAACAATTTAACACCAAAATTTTCACAAGGAGCGATTTTAACATAAATACAACAGTTTCTTACTGTATATTTATATTTATGCATGGAAAAAAAAACTCGATTTCTGCAGGTAAATAGGGACCGAATGAAAATAAGGAATAATAAGTGAAAACTCGATGACAAGAAATGGTATCTCTGCTAGAGCGAGTGAGGACATACGTGCGAACATTCAGCTGCATTAAAATTCGATGGAGACAACCGGGGAGCAATTGACTGAATAGAAATCTCCCGAATCTCTCTGTTTTTACAACCGAGTTTTCACGTGGTCCCCAAGCGACGGTAAATTCAGTTACAACGGAATTATTTTTTCCAATCGTGCATATTTCTTTCTTCCAATTTCCGACGTAATGGAAAACATTCGGTCGTTACCTCGTTATATCGAGAAATAAATAAGTTCTACATTTATATTTACGGCTGTTCAACGCAAGACGCTTTAAAATAGCGGCGCAGAAAGAATCAGCGTGGAATTCGATACCTGCTGAGGAGCATTAACCACACCGGTGTTGTACCCATGTTGGAACGACGAGCCGAGAGCGGCCGCCGCGATAGCGAACGCTAACCGCCCGTTGAGACCCTGCGGAACAGAAATTCGTGAGAGAATGATTAGCCTTGTCTCCTTCGACAAACGAATACATGACATGAATATTACATAACATACCGGAAAATACATTTGCTCGGCGAATATACGGGAATATGAAATCGAGATGCAACGTGCCGGTTTCGTTAAACTCGCGATCAAAGTCGTGCTAAATAGATATCCCATCGAACAACAACGACAACGCGTCTCGAGTTCGAGATAACGTCGAATTATCCAGATTAGGAGGTGCGGGAAAGTTTAAGGGCTACTTTGAGGTGAGATACTCGCGCGCATAATATCTTCGAAACGAGCGCTCGTATCATCGCAATGTCGTTGTACATTCCTGAAGCGCAGACGCCGATAGCGTACCTATCACGCGCGGTGTATTAATGAAGCGATGAATATGTAACGCGCGGCACAATTCCGCGATATGCAATTTCGTCCGACATTGGCGAGCCAAGAGAAGACCGGCGGAGACGAATCAACTGTTCGCACACGAGCGGGATGAGAGATGACGAGTCTCGGAATAGGTGGGAACATTTCGCAGCCATCGGACGTCAGCACAATATACGCCTTCGCGCGCGCCTATCTTTGTTTGAAATTGAAACACAATGTGCCCCATGCCTTCCCTCAAGCGGGCTCGATCCGAAGAGAGAGGAGGAGAATCATTCGATTTCGAAGCAACAAGTCTCCCTCTCTCTCTTGCTCTTACATTCTTTTACCTTGTACACTCGCGCTGAATTTGTCTAATTATTTAATTATTATTACTATTATATCTGTATGTTTTCTATAATTGCGCTCGAGGGGATGGTTTCCCAGAGCGCACAGTGAATAAAACTTTCTACAGCTTTAAAGTTGTTTGAAGCTTTAAATTCATGTTTCCCCATTTTTTTCTTCGGTTTCTTCCTTACGGAGAAAAGTGAACGACGACGAAGTTTTAACTGAACACACGGAACACCGAATTTTTCTAAACACGAATTTTCATATCCCCGGTAGAGAAATGTTTTCATTTTGGGAAACCCGGCGAAGAAACCCGCGAATAAAATGGGAAAATAATCCGGTTTTATCCGCGAGACTTTAAAACTATATAGCTTTTTCTATCTATTCCCACCCCTTTACCTCTTGATTCGTTTTTCTTCTATTTTATTGATTTTTCCGATGGTATATTTCTTATTTACTTTTTCCTCATCTACGACTACTATTTTCAGTGCGTACCGTTTTCCTCAGATACGGCGCTTCGACGTCGGCCGATTTCAGCGTCATCGTGTCGACTCGCCGGCGGACACGCGAGAAAGCCACCGGGCACTGGTATTGTAAAGCGCGGGGTTAACTTTCACCGATCGCGACGGCGCGAGTGCAGGTCGGAAAAATCGCCGGTTCTTTCGCTTTCCGTTTTCTCGCGACGCCTAAGCGAGTATCGTTCTCCAGTGTTCTCGCAGCACGTGCCAAAGACTGCTGGGTCGGTACCCCCGCCTACCGTTCTTATAGAAGACTTCGGCTCACACGTAGTTATAAACGCGCGCGAGTGAGCACGGGCGAGTACGCACGACGCACACACGTACATACACGCGGCGTATACGGCGAACCTACGTTCTGCTCGTTTTGCGCGGAAGGTGTGTAGATTATAAATGCGCGTACACGTGCGCGCGCGTGCGATTTCCATGGAGCACTGATATGTTCGTTAGAACTGCCAACGGTTAGCAAAGGCGTAAACCACGTAGATTATGTCGCGTTGAATCGAATCTCTCTTTCTCGATTCTATCTCCGAGGGAAGGTCCGCTTAATTGAGCGAATTAAGCGCGGCGAAGGGATAGAATAGGGAATTTTGTCGAAGAAATATTAGAGAAGGCGCGCTCTCAGATGTATGATCAGAAATCATAAATAAAATCAAAGCGGTAAAGCAAGAGCCGATGTCGGGTGTTATTTTGGCGAGGAAATAAACAGAAAGAAATCCTTCAATTAGGGAGATTAGCAAGGTGAAATGAGGCTTGATGAGAATTCAATGACAAAGTTGCATTATGTATACGTTGGAATATTATCTAACCGCTCGTGCAATTAGAAAAAGACTGATCATTCGAGAGCTGGGATACTTGCAACTAAAATTGACACTTCTTATATGTGTTTCCTGAGAGGTTAGCGTGCTATTTTTAATTTATATTTTTAATATCTTCTAAACTGTAAAAGATTTTGATAAAAAAAGTTACTGTGATATTAAAGACCGGTATATAGATAGATATTGTTTAGATAGTGAAGGAAATGTATAGAAATATAATTTTATTCGATGAACATTAAATCAATAAATAGTCCTTTGACGCACTACTGAAAATACGACATTAAACAGCCTTTTTAACGAACATACAAATTTCATCAGACTTATTAAACTAATGGTCTTTCTCGTCTCGATGATTACTCGATTTCACGAAAAATGAAAATCCCCGTCATTTCCACTCATTGACGTCTGTATTTTTCCCAGATTATTAGACGTTACATTGATATCGAGCAATCATCGAGATTGTTAAGGAAGATCGTTACGCGAAGGTATTATCGGAGAAGAAACTACACTCCGCAGACTCTGTTTTTTGAACGAAAAAACCGGCAATTTTCAACGGCAATTAGTCGGGATTAATGAGCCGTTCGCTCATGAGCGGCGCGAGCGCGCGAAAGTTCGCGCAGTCATAATCGCTCGTCGATCGAATCGCAAATCGAGCGATCACTCACGCGCGTAAACCGATCTTCGTCATGCGTTCGCACACGCGTTGCATAGATCTGCATAGATATTTATCGACATATTTTCGCATGACGACGTTGCGACCGCAAACGCTCCTTCTTTGACGTCGACACCCGAGCGCACTTTGTACGCATATCGTAATAATAATGCGCGTTGCATTGAACGGTGATTATTTGTCGCATCATGCTGTGCACCGCAGAGATCGCAATTAGTGAGAGACAGAGAGAGAGAGAGAGAGAGAAGTCTTGACCATGTCGACTCGCATTGGACAGTGTCGGACTTTAAACTTTCCTTCCTGTTTATGCGAAATAAGAACGCTTGCTTATAGTAGATAACGCGCATCCCTCTCTCTCTCTCTCTCTTCCTCCTCTCGGCAGCGTTATCTAAACCCTAATCGTTTTTTGTTTTGCGATTAATTTTCTTTTGGATTGTACTCTGTAACATCTCATTCAACGTCACGCACATCGAAAGAAACACTGACGACCCGTCCGTTACCTTACCTTATTATGCGTCGGTGTTAATGAAAATTTCAACGTTTGTGTAGGTGCAACGTTTGACTTGCTGCCTCTCACGATGCACCGGTCAACTCGTGCGAAAGAAAAGGAAAAATAAGAGAACGTGAAGACAACGTCTCCTCTACGAGAAGTTGTTGAACCGCTGAAACCGTTAAATCACACAGCACACACGCCGCGTCCCGTCAACTTCGCTTCTTTCTCACCGAATAATTTTGAGTGTAGCTATCACAAAGAAAAAAATAACACAAGACCAGATTTTTCGTGCTAATGACAGTAAGCGAGAATGATGCGTCTGCGATATTTCGCAAATAAAAACGATACCTTGAATGACGCGGAAAAAAAGGTGGCGTTACGTAAAGCATACTTATCGTCGCTTTGTGCGAGTCTGAATCTCAATAGCTCATTGTTTAATATCGATTCATCGATGATGCAAACGAAAGCGAAAACAATGTTTGGATTGAAAGGTTTCGCGTGCACGCGTTGACCCTACAAACGCCGCGCGAGCGACAGAAGAATCGAATTGACGCAAAAGTCGATGAAAATTTCGCTGCGAAATTGAGAATTTGAAGCTCGATATTTCAATATTTCTGATTATCCGTCGAATGTAGGTTGAGATTAACTTTAACATATTTTAATTTCGTGCGAGGCGATTATAAAAAAATTTGAACACGTAGAAATAGAAAAAAAGAAGTGGAAAGTAAGAATCTCGGGAAAAGAGTTCCACGACCGACCGCCTGTCATTGCAAATTGGAAATCGATAACGGCGAATAATCGCTATTTTTATCCGGTATATCGATCTCGAGTATTTTATTTCCCGCGAAGGGAGTGCCGTACACTCTATGCTACCTATTATCAGGGAGAGAAAGATACGGAAAAAAAGAAAACGAGAATACGCGAATAGTCGAGAGAGATCGGCACAAGTAAGCGTGAACACGTCGACCGAGATCCGAACACCAAGTTTTTCCACACGGTGGTGTCCATTAAGTAATATCGCTGGTTCTAAACGATCGGAAACACGACCGATACGGTTATCAATGATGAAACGGTGCGCAATTTACATCGAGCTAAGGTTTCACGGTCACTATCGGCTTAGACGCGCTCACCTAATTTCCATGCTGCATTTACAACAAACATAATACGCGCATATATAAGAATGCATTAGAATACGTAAGAATATACGAAAAAGTAAGCACGAATGCTCGTTGAGGAACCGGAGAAATTCTCTGCCGAATAAACACGTGACATTATCGAAGTATCTGAGGCACTAAAAAAAGAAAAGGAAAGAAATGAAAAGGAAAATTTCGTCGCGATTAAAACGTAAATAAGTGAGTAGCGAGACGTTGCGGCTCTTCGCTACGGACGGACATTTTCGATAGAATTCTTAACGCCGGTCTTGCTCATCGACACGTTGGAAATTGACGAATCACCGCATGACACACGCAGATTCGCATGCGGCGTGAATGTACGTCAGGTGTGCGTAATCAAGATGCGATCCCCAGAGGTCACTCGGCTGCGCATATTACTGAAAATTTAGCGATATTTCTTCCGCGACTTCTCCGGAGGCTCGATTATCTTTTCTTTTCCTACCGAAGATTAAAAATTCATTAGTGAGTCGATGATGTCAGTTCCTCTTTAATCCGCGGCCGTTTCTCAGCGGTGCGTCACGTGGATTCTGTTGTTCCTCTCCGCCTGTTACAAAATTCATGAGAAATCCATCTTCCGTTAGAACGACATTTTTCCGCGAGAAAAAAATTAGCGATGTATAAAACCAGTAACGAAGATTAATAGGAATCCGCTACGTCACGTTACACACGTCGCATTGCCGATCCATTCAAGTCGTAGAATTAGCTTCTCATTCCTTTCCGACTTTCTCTTTCTATTTATACACAACACTGCGAAACGATTGTATCTTAAATTCGCGGAAAATGCAAAAAAAACCATTCTTTTTCTGAGCCTATAGTTTTTCTAAAACCATAGCCATTTTGATTAAATAAATATTACTTGAACGGTAGCACTTTTTCTCCGAAGTAAAATTACTTCGTCATCGGGCAGCTTTTTCAGCGGTAATTGCCGCCCCGATCATTAATCGAAGGCGACGCCTATGATGTTAAAAGCTGCTCCTGTGGCACCCAACGTACATAAATACGTGAATGTGTATGCGTGTGCGGCACCATACTACACACACGCGATCGCACCAACCGCGTGTGACAAAAAGAGGGGGAGGGGGGAGGGGGGGGTTTGTACGTAGCAAAATTCCAGACCGCCGTGACGTACCCGCCGCGGGAGAACGGGAGAACCTATTCGTTCGTTGTGTACGTGCGTGGATTCTCGTTGGTCGCGGCGAAGGCGTGTCACATGTTGATTGGTTCGCGGTGCGGTCGAGCCTCCGGCTTTTACGAGAGAAAGAGAGGCGCGAGAGCGGCGGCGGGAACTCGTCCTAGCTAAAAATAGAGAAAGTGCGCGCGCGAGCGACGCTGACGCTCTTTAAAGTGGCGTCCACACACGCGTGCGACTTTCGCCGGTCATCCTTCACCCGTGCGCGCACGCGTTACCGCGGAACAAGGAAAATTAATGCAAGGAACTAGCAAAGAAGAATTCAATTTTGACATACGGACGACCATGCTTTAACCCACAATAAAAGAGTAAGGAATCAGTTAGGAATACTATGGGAATTCTTATAATTTGTGTTCTTATAATACTTGGAAAAATTGATTAATAGTTAACCTTCAAAATGTCTAATGTAATCATTATTATATATATATGAAAGTCAATTCGAGTTAATATCAAGAAATAATTATGAAGAAAATGATAAAAGTGTTAATGATGTCGTTAGAGATTCATTAAAAAATAGTAAAAGTGATGATCTCGTTTTAAAACGTTCTCTATTTCTTTTATTGTGTTTTAAACTATAGCTTATTTCTAATATCTTATTCCTAATTGCCTG